AGCCTGGTGTGTTACAGTCCATGGGGTTTCAAAGAGTTGGACACGACTGAGTGACTGAACTGAAATGAACTGATATGGACTCCCATTGAATTCACTCTGGGACAATCTGTTATTAAGCAACTGAGTATGAGCATGGGGTGAACCACTGAATAAACAATATTCCTTTTCTTCCTACTGTCAGACCGTCTTCTGACAATCGATACAGCTTCTTAAAGAAGAGATTGTGATATTGAGCAGTCAGTTGTTTTCGTTTCTAATTGTGGTAGGCCCAGGGAATACACCCTTTTGTTGACTCACTTCTTCTGAGACTTAATCGCCTTGTGAATGTACTCCCTAATAAAGTAACAACACATAAACTTTATCTCAGACTCAGTGTTCTGAGGAATGCAGGCTAAGGCGATACCCAACTGAACCACATACATGAATCCTGTACATGCATCAAAAGACATGTGCAAAAATGTTTACAGCAACATTATTCACAATATTGAGCAACTGGAAACATCTTAATTGCCCATAAAAGTATAACATCAATAGATTTTAACATGTGAGAAAAGAAGTCAAGCACAAAGAGGAACTACAGTATGATTCCACTTACATAAATTCCAAACATGATAAAACTAATATATAGTGCTAAAAGACACTCTAGTGGTTATCTTTGGAGCTGATGGTAGGTACTGACTGAGAGTGAGCACAAGAAAAGAATCTGGAGTGCTGAAAATGTTATATTTCTTGATCTGTGTGCAGTTACTTGAATGGGTATACTCTATAATAATTCCAGTTTATACACTTTTCTACAAAGAGGTCATATTTCAACTTTAAAAGCTTAAATGATTGTAATCTCACTTGATCATTTTTACTTTTGTTGTCTGTGCTTTTGTTGTCAGACAATCCATGGAATGGGAGAACATATTTGCAAACCACATACCTGAAAAGGGTTAATTTCCAAAAAGCATTAGAAATTCTATAATTCAATAGCCCCCCGAAAATGTGCAGATTTAAAATGGGCAAAGGACCTAAATAGACAGTTCTCCAAAGAGAACATATTAATGGCCAACAAGTATATTAAAAATGCTCAACATCAAAAATCATCAGACAAATGCAAAATCACAATGAGAGAATCTTTTCACATCTGTTACAATGGTCATTACAAAGACAGAGAGAGAGGGAAAGAGGGAAGTCACTCAGCCTTCTTTATAGTCCAACTCTCGCATCCATACATGACTACTGGAAAAACCATAGCTTTGACTATATGGACCTTTGTCGGCAAAGTGATGTCTCTGCTTTTTTAAAAAATAGGCTGTCTAGGTATCTCATAGGTTTTCTTCCAAGGAGCAACCCTCTTTTAATTTCATGACTGCAGTCACCATCTGCAGTGATTTTGGAGCCTGAGAAAATAAAATCTGTCATTGTTTCCACTTTCCCCCCATATATTTGCCATGAAATGATGAGACCAGATGCCATGATCTTTGTTTTTTGAATATTGCTTTAACTCAGCTTTTTCACTCCCTTCTTTCACTTTCATCAAGAGGCTCTTTAGTTCCTCTTCACTTTCTGCCATTAGAGTGGTATCATCTGCATATGTGAGGTTGCTGATATTTCTCCTGGCAATCTTGATTCCAGCTTGTGCTTCAACCAGCCCAGCATTTCATATGGTGTACTCTGCATATAAGTTACACAATCATGGTGACAGGATTATAGCCTTGATGTTCTCTTTTCCCAATTTTGAACCAGTCTGTTGTTCCATATCAGGTTCTAACTTCTGCTTCTTGACCTGCATACAGGTTTCATAGAAGACAGATAAGATGGTCTGGTATTTCCATCTCTTTAAGAATTTTCCACAGTTTGTTGTGATCCACACAGTCAAAGGCTTTGGTGTAGTCAATAAAGCAGAAGTAGATGCTTTTCTGGAACTCTCTTGCTTTTTTGATGATCCAACAGCTGTTGGCAATTTGATCTGATTCCTCTGCCTTTTCTAAATCTAGCTTGTACATCTGGAAGTTCTTGGTTCATATACTGCTGAAGCCTAGCTTGAAGAATTTTGAACATTACCTTGCTAGCATGTGAAATGAGCACAATTTCATGGTAGTTTCAACATTCTTTGGCATTGCCTGTCTTTGAGATTGGAATGAAAACTGACCTTTTGCAGTTATGTGGCCACTGTTGAGTTTTCCAAATTTGCTGGCATATTGAGTGCAGCACATTAACAGCATCATCTTTTAGGATTTGAAATAGCTCTGCTGGAATTCCATTACCTCCACTCGCTTTGCTCATAGTGATGCTTACTAAGGCCCACTTGACTTCACACTCCAGGATCTCTGGCTCTAGGGTTATCTGTGTCATGAAGATATTTTTCGTATAGTTCCTCTGTGTATTCCTGCCACTTCTTCCTAATCTCTTCTGCTTGTGTTATGTCCTTGCCATCTCTTTCCTTTATTGTGCCCCTCTTTGCAAGAAATGTTCCGTTGGCATCTCCACTTTTTTTAGATATCTATAGTCTTTCTCATATGGTTTTCCTCTATTTCTTTGCATTGTTCACTTAAGAAAGCTTTGTTATCTCTCCTTGCTGTTCTCTGGAACTCTGCATCCAGTTAGGTTTATCTTCCCCTTTCTCCTTTGCCTTTTGTTTCTCTTCTTTTTTCAGCTGTTTGTAAGAGCTCCTCAAACAACCACTTTGCCTACTTGCATTTCTTTTTCTTTGGCATAGTTTTAGTCACCACCTCCTGTACAATGTAATAAGCCTACGTCGATAGTTCTTCAAGCACTCTGTCTACCAGATCTAATCCCTTGAATCTATTGTCACCTCTAATGTATTATCAAAAGCGGTTTGATTTAGGTCATACCTGAATGATCTATTAGTTTTCCCTACTTGCTTCAATTTCAGCCTGAATTTTGCAATAATGACCTCATCATCTTAGCCATAGTCATAGCCATATCTTGTTTTCACTGACAGTATAAAGCTTCTCCATCTTTTGCTACAGAAAGTATAATCAGTCTGATTTTGGTTTTCACCATTCGGTGATGTCAATGTGTAGAGCCATCTCTTACATTTTTGGTAGACTGCATTTGCTATGACCAGTGCATTCTCTTGGCAAAACTCAGTTACCCTTTGCCCTGCTTCATTTTGCACTCCAAGGCCAAACTCACCTGTTACTCCAGGTATCTCTTGACTTCATACTTTTGCATTCTAATCCTCTATGATGAAAAGGACATGCATACTTATTCTGTGGAACAACCCTAACTGTGTTGCCTGCATCCAAGCCTTCACTGATCCCTGCTCATGTTTCTGATCCTATGTCTCCAGAATTTCTCTTAATTTGGCTTATTGGCTAATATCTTTCAAAATTATTTTATATTTATTAATGTTAGCTAAAATTGCTAACAACTGTAGCTTACAACTAAGATTTATAGAAGATGTAAGCAGATGGACATGGATGGAGTGGAGCCCAATAAGCAGACTTTGCAGTAATTAAAAATTGTTGAAACACATGCTTTTAGACAATAAAGCCTGGAATTGATTGTCGATTAGTTCTTCCTATTTAGATTCTCATTGCTATCTTGGTTCCTGACATTTTAAACTTCTAGTTATTTAGCTTTACTTTTGATTCAATTATTTGTCTAAAATAAGTTCCATTTTTGCTTACATAATCCAGAGCTGGGCTTTGTTGCTTGTCAACAAAGAATGCTAACCAATACAGAAATTGGTATCAGGAATTAAGAGCAGTTCAGAGGGAAAGGTACAGGGATTTTGAATGCTCTTAGCCTTCCAGATCCTCCCAGATAGCCCCCTTAAAATTATCAGGAGAGAATGTCTCTCTTGCTCAAAGCTGTAAATTTTTACATAAATGACCTATCAAGGTTAGGTATAAATTCAACTGAAGTAATTTTAGAAACCCAAAGAATCAGTCTTTGAGTTTTGCTTTTAAAAATCTCAGCTTTTTTGACCATGTGAAGTAAAGGGGCTTTGCTTTCTTTAGTATGGCTATCAAAAGTCACTGAGGTTTACCATATGCCTTGTTTAAAAGTTACACATACTTTTCTTCTCACCTTAAATTAAGTCAATGCCATCAGACGTAGCCACGTCTGACACATTGGCTTTTCTTTAATTGCTGCTGCTTCTGCATGGAAGGTTCTTCCCTAAATTTCTTCAGGACTTTTTTCAAATGTCACCTTATCAGAATGCCTTTCCCTAATGTATTGAAATCAGTAAATTCACACCCTATCCCCATACTGTTTTTATTTTCCTTCGTAGCACTTGGCATTCTGTAACATTTGTCTGTTGCTTTTTTCTTCCTGGAATCATAAGCTCCGTAAGGGAAGGCATTACATTATTCTCTACTTTGAGCAAATGCCTGGCACATAGTAGGCGCTTCGTCACAGTCTTAGACTGGACTATATGAACTTGCCCACGAATTGTAGAAGTAACCCGTTCTTTTTGTGACTAGTTATTTACTAAGGCGGCCTTCCCTGGTGGCTCAGGGTAAAAAAACCCGCCTGCAATGAGGGAGACCTGGGTTCAGTCCCTGGGTTGAGAAGATCCCCTGGAGAAAGGAACGGCTATCTACTCCAGTATTCTGGCCTGGAGAATTCCATGGACTGTATAGTCCATGAGGTCGCAAAAAGGCGGACACAACTGAGCGACTTTCACTATCAGTATTTATTAAGGCAGATGAACTTGGATTTTAAGTCCTTAGCTAGAAAAATCTCATATCCCAGAAACAACTAACGTAATGAAAAGTTCTGCACCCAGAAAAGTAACTTTCAAATGGACTATGGAGAACTGTTATCAGGGACAGTGACAATCAATCACAAAGTTAAATCATTTCTCCCCAGAGAGGACAAACTGCTGCAGCTTCCCAGAGTAGCACTAGAAGGGCAGAGAAAGGGCGGAGCCAGCCGGCGAGGGGCGGGACTGGCTGAGGCTAGTGTAATTGGAATCTAGTTGAACTGTTTTGTCCCTTTCCGCTCTCCGTTCGACGACTTGGGCGGAGGCGGTCACAGCTATGGCAGCCCTTAGGGTAAGTAAAAAGAAAAAAAAATAACTTGCTTAGTTTTTGGAGTGCTGATAGCACTCTAATAATCATAGAAGGGGTCCTCCTAACTTCAGAAAGGAGTCCCATAGCAAGGGGCGAGATGGAGATGAGGTTGCAAGAGAACTGGCAAAGTCAGGGAATCTTTAACCGATTTGAAGCCTCAATACACCTGCCTAGGCTGCAGTCCATGGGGTCGCTGAGTCGGACACGACTGAGCGGCTTCACTTTAACTTTTCACTTTGATGCATTGGAGAAGGAAATGGCAACCCACTCCAGTGTTCTTACCGGGAGAATCCCAGGGGCGGGGGAGCCTGGTGGGCTGCCGTTTCTGGGGTCGACCAGAGTCGCACACGACTGAAGCAACTTAGCAGCAGCAGCAGCAGCCTGGAACTATACTCTCCTCAGTTCCCTGCTGTTGACTTTATACTGCGGTGGGGTGAAAACTGGGAAACTGCTGGGTGAAAATGGCCGGCTGGGCGATGAGCAGCAAACAGACTTGTGTCTTGAGCTAAAACAAAGAGAAGAGAAGCCTGGGCGTTTGTCTGGGTGCATAGGGCGGGGCCTCACGACCCTTTGAAGGGCTTCGTTCGAAAATTATTTCTGGTAAAATAGACCAGAATAGAGAGGTCTCTGTACAGTGCGCGGGTTTGTATTCACTGCTGTTACTCTACGGGTTTGAATAACAAACCTGTTTCTTTTGAGTTCTGCAGTGCGAAATGATCCTTTTACTTAGGGATCTGTACAGGAAGTGACCCAACTGGCTGCCAACTGCAGTTCCCTAAGTAAGTTTCAGTAACAGCAGTCGGCAAATATCTATGAGTAGACAAATATCTATGGGTAGATACTTGTAGTAGGTTGTAAGTGTAAAATGCACTGCTTGCAGGAGATACAAATATGAGTAATTCAGGCTGTGTATCAGGCTTGATGAGCCGTTCGCACTTCATTTCTGCATTCATAATTTATTTGAATTACCACAACACCCGTCTAACTAGACTCACTGCCTCTAGCCTGGCTCTAATGGAATTAATTTTCCCCTGCACTGCCAGAGTACTAAAATGCCAATCTGATTATGCCCCTCCACTACTTAAAAATCTTTATTGGCACTCCATCATCCGTCCTCTGGGGTCAGGTCAGACTCTCATGTGTCTAGAACAGCCCAGCCTGCCTTGGCTTTCCAGCTTCTTTTCCTATCTTTCAGGAACTCTCCTAACATCTGTACTTTTTCCCTGCTCTTTCTCTGTTCTGAAGTGCCCTTTACCATCCTCATGTAGTTAGTTCCTATTCATATTTCACTGATTAATTTAACAGTGATTTGTGTACTGCCTCCCCATATGCTAAATGTAAAATGCCTTTTCCAAGACAGTGTCCCAGATCTCCCCAGTCTGATTTAAGTAACTCACCTTTTTGCTCCCAGAGGACCCTGGGCATACTTTTACCTTTGGACTTATCACACTGTTAGTAATAGACTATGTACTGTCTATTCTACCCTCTTAAACGATAAGCTACTTGAGAGCAGTAATTATTTGCTAATTTTTGTATCATTAGTACTAAGCGCAAGTTTGACTTATATTAGGTACTCAATAAATTCTGCATGAATAAATGTCAGGCAATGGAGATAAAAGAAATTAAGTTAAGCACTGTTTAACAAATGATGATGATTCAGAGTAGAGGAAGTGCCTTGCCTCAGGAGAAGTAAAAAGTGATCTGAGGTTTCAGAAGAGAGCTCATACCTGGTTGAAGAGAATAAAGAAAGACTTCATGGAGGGAGTACAGAGAGAGAATGACTGGTCAATGGTTGAAAAGTAAACCTGAAAAGTATGTTGTCACCGAAGCCCAGAGAAGGAGACAGTTGAACAGTTTTTTGATTTGGCCAGTAATAAGTCATTGGTAGCTGCTATTTATTAAGGGCTTCCTACAAGGCTAGGCACCATGCTAAAATACTTTGTGTATGTTATTTCACTTAATTATCAAGACAACTTTATGTTGAAGATACTATGATCACCATTTTACAAATGAAAAACTAAGGTTAAGAAAATTCAATTAAGTTTCCCAAAGTCATAATGCTAATAAGAGCTAAAGTGAGGTAAAATGGTAGAGTGAGAACCTAGATTGTAAAGGGTTGTGTTGTGTTGTGCTCAGTTGCTTCAGTCATGTCTGACCCTTTGCAACCCTATGAACTGTAGACCACCAGGCTTCTCTGCACTTGGGATTCTCCAGGCAAGAATACTGGAGTGGATTGCCATGCTCTCCTCCAGGGGATATTCCCATCCTAGGGATGGAACCTGTGTCTCTTACATGTCCTGCATTGGCAGGTGGGTTCTTTACTGCCAATAATCTGGGGAATCCCCAGATTATAAGTGGTTAGGGAAAAGATTTCCTAAAAGAAATCAGTCCTGAATATTCATTGGAAAGACTGATGCTGAAGCTCCAATACTTTGGGCATCTGATGTGAAGAACTGACTCATTGGAAAAGACCCTGATGCTGGGAGAGAATGAAGGCAGGAGGAGAAGGGGACAACAGAGGATGAGATGGTTGGATGGCATCACCGACTCAATGAACATGAGTTTGAGCAAGCTCCAGGAGTTGGTGATGGACAGGGAAGCCTGGTGTGCTGCAGTCCATGGGGTTTCAAAGACTTGGACATGACTAAGCGACTGAACTGAACTGAGGGAAAGGATAAGGGGTGGGAAACTGGCATTCATTTAGCACCTACTTTGACTGGCTGCTTTACATGTATTATTTCAGCTTAATCTTTTTGATGACCCTAAGAAATGGGATAATATCCCCATTATACATATGAAAAAACTGAGGCTTAGAAAAAGTGCTGGCTCCAGGTCATATAGCTACTAAGTGGAAGAACCATATTCAAACACAGGTATGCTGCTGCTGCTGCTAAGTCACTTAAGTTGTGGCCGACTCTGTGCGACCCCATAGACGGCGGCCCACAAGGCTCCCCCCTGGGATTCTCCAGGCAAGAACACTGGAGTGGGTTGCCATTTCCTTCTCCAAAGCATTAAAGTGAAAAGTGAAAGTGAAGTCGCTCAGTCGTATCCAACTCTTAGCGACCCCATGGACTGCAGCCTGCCAGGCTCCTCTGTTCATGGGATTTTCCAGGCAGAGTACTGGAGTGGGGTGCCATTGCCTTCTCCGCAAACACAGGTATATTTGGCTTCAAAGTCCTTGATCTTTCCACTACTCCTTGCCTCCTCTGAACGGAAGGTGTACATTACTCTTGAGAGAAATGTTATGGTCAAAGTAGGGAAGAGATCTTAAGATGGTGGTAGCAAGTTCCAGAAAAGATGTCTTTTCACTTAAATAAAGTAGGAGACTATATGCCAATTAAATCTCAATGAAACTGGGGGAAAAACATGTCAGGAGACCTGAGCAGGTTTGGAGACAGGGAGAAATGTGCCAAGAACTACTAAAAATTAATGATAGTGATTACAGCTATTAAACTATTGAACATTTACTGTACTAGGCATTTTGCTAAGTGCATTATGTGAATTTTCACATTTATGCTTCACAATGGCCCAATGAGTAGTTGCTGTTATGAGCATTTTACAGGTAAAGAAGCTGAAATTTAGAAAGGTGAAATTTAGAAAGAAGGTGAAATTTAGAAAGGTGTGCACTCTGCCACAGTCACACAGTTGTAAGTGGTCAATCTGAATCTGAAATCTCTGATCTGAGTCCAGATCATGGGGCTTAACCTTGATGAAGCATCTGTAAGGCCAAGGTGTGAAATGGATTATCTGTGTTAATTTTGAAGCCCCAGAGTTTAATAATAAGGGATAATGTAGAAAGGAGTCCTGAATGTTGGTTAGATAACTCTGAAAATAGTTTACATGCATTTTGAAAGATAAGAGCTTTTTGAGCAAATATGATGATAGAACACTGATGTGGAATTAGCCTTGAGAACAAGGTCTGTACTGATCTTTCCTCCTGACTTCTTGAATCAGAGAGAATAGCTGGAGGACTGACTTTCATTTAAAAGGATCAGGAGAAATATTGTGTCAAAAGCCAGATTTCATAAATGCCAAAAGTTGGGTGAATTTGGGGAAAATTTGGGTCCTGAAAAATGTTTGTTTATAATAGAATACATAATATTGAAATATGGCTACCATGTACTGAGCATTTCCTGTGTGTCAGACATTGTGTTATGCTGTTGATGACATCATTTCACTTAATTCTCACAAAAAGTTTTCTATGGTAGATAATTTTATTGGCTCAAAGTACAGGAGTAGGACAGTAAGGAAATCAAAGCTGAAATAGGAGGTTGTAGTCAGAGAAAAGCTTATTAAGTTTATAATTTAAGCTGTTAACAAGTTCCAGAAAATGGTAAATTCAGGATGTATTCATGGAGTGTGTAACTGCAGTAGAGTGAAAGCTCTAAGAAGGTGAAGTCAAAGAACAGCAAGGTGAGGCTTTTGAGTGGCTCAGTCACATGGACATTAAAGTCACTCAGAGTTATAGCAGGATTTAGAGTATAGAAGAGTGCTTCCCAGGTGGCACTAGTGGTAAAGAACCTTCCTGCCAATGCAGAAGAAGTAAGAAACGAGTGTTCGATCCCTAGGTCAGGAAAATCCTCTGGAGGAAGAAATGGCAACCCATTCCAGTATTCTTGCTTGGAGAACCCCATGGACAGAGGCACCTGGTGGGCTATAGTTCATAGGTTTGCAAAGACTTAGACACAACTGAAGCGGCTTAGCACAGCAGACAGAGTATCAGTTCAGTTCAGTCACTCAGTCGTGTCCGACTCTCTGTGACCCCATGAATCGCAGCACACCAGGCCTCCCTGTCCGTCACCAATTCCCGGAGTTTACTCAAACTCATGTCCATCGAGTCGGTGATGCCATCCAGCCATCTCATCCTCTGTCGTCCCCTTCTCCTCCTGCCCCCAATCCCTCCCAGGACCAGGGTCTTTTCCAATGAGTCACCTCTTCTGATGAGGTGACCATAGTATTGGAGTTTCAGCTTCAACATCACT